TTGTATGAAAGCAAATGCCATACTTAATAGACAGGTATCGTAGTGACGAAACAAACACACATAGCGAACAATTTTGAACTATCGATATTCAGTTTAAATAATTATCGAACTCAACTAAATTTTTTATTTTCTTATTAACTAATTTATAGGACAATTCTAGTATTGATTATAGTGTAGAGAATTTAGCGATGACAGAAATAATAGCGAAATTCAATTCGATTACGTACGGCTGTAGTAGTAATAAACATTTATTTACTCTCATTTTTTGTTACTGTCATTATTAATTTGAAAAAACAGTGTTTTTTTTTAATTCATGAGTTATAACTATAAATCTATCGATTCCAACTTCTATGAGAATAAAAATCGAAAATCGATAAGATTCATGACTGATTTTACACAACCCATCCCTACTAAATTTGAAGTGAATTGTCAAACTAATCTAAATTATTTAGACACACTATAGTGGAACCCTACGTTTACATAATCATCTATTAATTGTATATCCATTTTGTTATACTTATTTTTACTATTTGTCAATTACAAATAGGAAGTAATTCTCATTCCGTCGGAATAGAAATAAGAATTTATTTCCTCTAGCAATGAAACTACCTGAACTCGAAAACTCATAAATTATTCAGCAGCCATATAAATAGATACTGAGTATTGACTTACATCCAAAACACGATTAGACAGGTTTATTGGAATTTTCACAACTTAGGAGACAATTCTTATAAAGCAATTTAAGAAAATAATAAAATAACAAAATTTAATCACTAAGGTTTAACTTTTTTAAATTTAAAAGTAACCTTAAATTAATTTTGCTTAAAATGAAGTAAGACAAACTGGATTGCAATGGAAAATCTTTTCGTCATATTAATTATTTATCTGCAACAGGAGTTAAAGTGTGACAATTTTAACTGAAGAGTTATAGCGGGCGAACACCTTTGGCTAAAATATCGCACACAGCGATTGTCAATTATATGATTTATAATACGGCTAAAACTCACGCACCGACCAGTTTCAAACCCGTAGGGGGTCCTTCTTCAGGGTGAGTGGTTGCCGGCTTTATTCGCTATCGCGTCGCGACGGACACACTACACCTACACCGAAAATTCCCACGTGAGTTTTAGCCGTGGTATTAATCATATAGTAATGTCTCACGAAAGTTTTAATAAGTCGATTGTCAATTGTTTCGCTGCAAATTTAATTGTTCAGTTCGACAACTGAAAATCGAATAGTTTGCGCACCTCCGTATAAAATCATTGGAATCAAAGCGTGACCAAATAGAAGTGCGATAGTTTGGACAAAGGTGTGCGTGTTTAAATCTAAGTCTAGTTAAAATGTGCGTGTAGACAAAATTTACTCTACAGTTCAAGTAACAGTTTCAGTTTTAGCTCAATTGAGTGTCTGTAGGGGGCGTTTTTATACAGTTTTTTAAAGTGTCCTATCTCAAATGTTTACAAAAATATACACAAGATGGCGTATATTTTTTGCCATTTATACGTTCTTGTTTAATTATTTTGAGATGTGTTTTATCCCATTACCTTATGCGTAATTTGATAAGCGAGGAGGAAATTGCTCTTTGCCGTAATGAAAATTTCTCGTCCTTTTCAACCCAAATGAATAAAAAAGATCCTACTTAATGAAAAAGAAACATTTTCTTATACTCAAAAGACTTACATTTTATATGAAAACCTAGCTTTTGCTCGCTACTTCGTCTGCTTGAAATTAACAATAAAGACATACCCTATATTACACACTGGTAACGTAGCTTTTTAATGATGCAAGAATTTTTGAAATCGGTCCAATAGTTTTTGAGTTATTCCAATATATATAAAAATACAAATCTTTCCTCTTTGTAATAATAGAAAAGAATAGATTTATCGTCATTTTGTAATACGTAATAGTAAAAATATACAATGATATTTGTATATAAAAGCATTCGCACTAAAAGCACGTGAATTGTCTCATACTTCAGAAGTGAAGGAAATTCTCTCGAAACTTGTATCTCTAGGATTGCAAAACTTTCTTACGAGGGAAGATTTACTAAACAGAAAGTACTATAACTCCTGAGTCTGTAACTGTACAGGAAAAATGATGTCTCCTTCCTTTTCTGGAAAGATACATTGAGGTTATGTTTATTTACCCTTTAATTTAAATGTTACAAGACTAAACTTGTCCCACCACTGGCTGATAGAGGCTGATAGAGCTTAAATTTAACGTCAGTGACAGATAAGGGAACAAAATTCGATTTTTCCATCACATATTTTACACGTTCGTTTTTTATCAGACAATTTACAATTTGGTGGGACAGACCCTTTGTAAAATAATTGGCTTAAACGTCCAAACCCTCTGGATTTGACAATAATTACAAAACCTACAATTTCTAATGTTCCAAATTTAAAAACTTGTTCAACAGACTGCTAATTTTAAAAATATTGATAGAAATCATATCTTATAGGATCAGTCTCTTCAAATACTTAAATTCCGTACGTTTACACACTCTGTTATTTCTTAATAATATTTGAAATAATATTATACAAACATGCGTTATTTAACCATACATTGTTACTTTTGTTAATTACCCGCAACAATGTGCTTGATTTGAGTGCGGAACTAAAACAATGTACAACTGCAGATGGCGCTTTCGCCTTGTTCAAACATATTTATGCCACTCTCTAGATTGAAACTGTACAATTGCATTAAGTCTAAATCTAAAGTAAGCGTTCCTAAGCTGGTTCCACTATCAACAAACCCTCAAGTAAATAAAAAGACGCTTACATTGTCGCTGCAAGCAGCCAATATATTCTAAGGATTTTTAAAAGTGAAAGAAAAGCGTGAAAACTCTTCTTGAAGCGTGAGAGAAAAGGATAAGAATTAAATCCACAAACATTTCTAAGAGGTGTTTTTCTCATTAGGATTTAGGCTTCGTTTAGGGCTTAACTGTCATAATTACTAACGTAATTGACGCAGCTTTACAAATAGGTTTGCAAAGACTATAGACGTAATAAATAGTGGTCCAACATAAATAAATCTAAATAGATTTCTTTAACGTAAATATTAGTTTATTCAAATCTGTTTTGTTATGAACAAAATCAAATTCTCAGGCAACCGAATAAGCTTCTTCATTACCTATATTCCATATCAAAGGGTAAAATGGTTCGTTTGATCGATGAAATACTATTTTAAGGAAACCTTATACGTTAAGGCAATTCTTATTCAACGCTATGTATAAATTTCCATACATATTTAACAAATTAATTCATAAATAAACCATTTTTAAAGCTTGAAAGAATTATTACATCTTAGTTATGGCCGAGTGTATCCCTCTTGTAATGGCACTTACGAAAATATAATAGGCAATATGCATATGACACCAAATTGTACCAAACTTTTTTTAAATATGCTTTATTACTATGAAAACAAAAGAATTTTTTTAATATAATTTGATTTAGTGGCAAAATTTAATCATTAAAGTGATTAAATTTTGCCACTAATGCATATTCCCAACATGCATATTCCCTATTGCAAATATACCGCTTAAGCCACCAGTAGAGGCGTTAAGGTAATGAGAGATGGAGGTCATGCCTTTGTTCGTATGAATTTTTATAGCAGGAGCGCCGTAGATATCTTGCCCAGAGCGCCTAAAACCGGCCCCATAAGCCACGCAATAAAATAGGAATAAAGATTTCATTTTCGATACTTTAATGCATTTTAGAAATTTATTGCCACAAAAGGATACTCGAAAATGTAATAGCTATCGTAAAATAAATCTGAACGCTCACTTTGTTGACTTTTAGTTACAAAGTTAGTTGGAGAGGCTGTTCAAATAGTTTTGTTAACGCCAACTTACTTTAGGTCGTTGATTGACTTTCATCACTTTATAGTTTCTTGTTACTTAAATCCAATGGCCTTTTATTGTTCCGAATAACGTATAATTAGTTTTTATAATAAGAAAAAAAAAATTATAAAGTCAAGTGTAATTAGATTATATCGCTTTTAATTTTTAATTAAGGTCAAGTGAGGTCATACAAGAGATGAAAATAGGAGGTTCAAAAGATTAAATTTTCGTCTCAACCTCTCTATAAATTACAAATAAATGACAAATATTTTGTCTTGTCTCGTAAATGATTAAATCAACATCAAAAGATGTTTGCCCAAATTCCTAATTGATCCTCTGTTGGAATGCAAAGAGTGTTTCTTATAAATGTCAGGTTTGAACCTTTCAATTGATTCAATGAAAACCTTTCGTAATCTAATAAAATTCGGTCAAAAGTTCCTTTTTGATCCTTTTACGAGACGGGAAATTAACTTTAAGTGACGACTTGTTTGTATTTCTTTAATGTAACATTTTCTTAAAAACTGGTCTAAACATTTAAATAAAATAAAAAAACAAAATTAATTGATTTTCCGCCATTTTATATTTTCTTAATATTTTTATGATTCTGAATTTCGCCAATTTTAATGGAATAATAGTCAAGGTTTGCAGCATCATTGAAAATTATTGAAAAACTGTTCGAAGAATTTAACGTAAAACCAATCTAGCAAAACTTTTTCTTCCAACTTCAAAAACAGTTGTCAAATGTCAATGTCAAACGTGTGAAGCGAAGCGAATGTTCGAGCCAGTGCTGCCAATGCTACGGTAATTGCCGCGTTATACGGCTTTCGGGACACCAAATTGCAAAATCTACGGGCTACGGCCGCAACCCTTCGAGGATCTAGAATAATTCATTGTTTTCTTTAATAAATTCATTTTCAAATAAGTTTTGAATTAAAAGAGCTCTGATTAAAAGTGATTTGTACCAGGAATAATGCAATTCAAATAAATTATTTACAAAATTTTATAAAACTAAGGGACGATTTTAACAGAGTTCATTAATCTTAAAAGTTAAAACAGCGAATGATAAGCAGTTTCCTTTTTAACTGTAGCTACGGCCTACTTATGATTTTTTTCCATACAAACACGACTTTTTGCACCATGAAGCCCAGGTAAAAATTTTCATTGGCAACACTGGTTCGAGTTGTTATAGCCATTTGTAGTTGAACACTTAACTTTATTTTCTTAAATTATACGGGAAAAAAACCCATATTGCAGAAAATTGGCAAAAAAGTACTAATTTAATTTTCATAAGTAACAAGAAAAGACAACTATGAATCATGGTGAATGTTATGAAAGGAGTTCTCGTCGAATGGTAAGGTTATGTTTATTCCAATTATTGATTTTTTTAAGACGCAAGTTAGCAGACATTTAGGCAAAGAACAATTGAGGTAGGCGTTTTGTTTTATTTTCATACAAAATGTTAAGCATTAATGTAGTCCAAGTCTTGAGGAATGTTGAAATTCTGTTCAATAACTTCATTTTCCATTTGGAAAGTGTTCTTTATGTAAGACTTGAGTATGTAAATATTCTCCGTCCATCTGTTAATTGCAGATTTTAATTCCTGAAAATAATTTTCAAATACATACATTATATTCTGTACTATAATAAAGCATAAATACATGTACTTTGTTATGTGGTATGTTAACAATCACAGCATTTTTTTAAAAATAACTGCTGTTTTTTTATTAAAAAGCCCTACACTCACGACACTCCAATAAGTCATAAATGGTTTACAACCTAAAAATCCTTTTATTTATATATTTGTTCTTTCATAGACCTACAATCATCAGTTTTCTTTGTAATAATGTAATGATATTGTTTACAAACTTCTATCTCCGCAGTCAACTGAGCAATGTACTCAGGATCACAATCTCTGTACTTCTGTAACTCTTTCTTTAGTTCTTCTTCTTTCTTTGTTACTTGTTCTAATGTTGCCAGTATCTGGTCTCTTTCTTCATTTACTTCTCTGCCAACCTATAGAAAAGTTTAGTAATTTGTTGCCATTAAAATAATTTTCATTTTAGGAACTAGAAACTTTTATGTTATAAACAAAGAGTAACTTACCGATTCTGAAGTTATGGAATCTTCTGCCTTTTTCAACTTCTTGACACATTCATACAATTCATTTTGAACTTCATTTAACTTCCTTTTCTTTGCATTTTTTGCTTTGCTAAAATAATTTAATCATTTCTTACTCAAGGGCATTGAAATAACACATTTATTTATTAATACTTACCTAGGAAATGACCAAAAGTATATTGAAGTTCCAATTTTCTCGGAATCCACAAGATGTTCATCAACCAAACTCTGTACAACTTCTTTTACCGACTGCATTGTAATGCCCTTCTCTTTTGGAGCTATTTTCTCCAATTCCTGTACCAAATCAAATTAGAATTGAACAAGAAATCTCAAATTACTAGAAAACCAATAAATTTAGTTACTATACCTTCAATTGAAAGAAATCTTTACTCTGATGAAATATCTCCAGCATTCTTATCCTCTTCTCGTCTGCACTTAAACCTCTTTTTTTAGACATGTTTTAATTCCAGTGATCCTGCTATGAAACAATTCCTGCTCCACTTAGACGAGACTCTTGCACTCGGAAGGAAGTTTATTCTGCAAGACCTTGACGACACACATTTATTTATCTCATCAGATATTGTGGAAACATTACAAGCTCGAGTTGATGATTTAATGGATCAATTGAGTATACCGGTACATGATAAAGGACTGTAAATATGGCATCCAGAGAATCGGGTAGAGTTAAAGAATCTGAGAAAAGGAGAATACTTGACGATGCCGCTAGGCAACGAAGAGCCAGGAAGGCCATTGAGGCTCTGGAACAGGACAATTTCCATGAAGACCCGCATGCAGATCTGGTTATGTCGAAAAAAGTCCCGAAATTCGCAGATTCCAATGAGAAACCAACAAGAAAGAAGAAGACGAGAAGTGCGGAGTACTATAAGATGAGATTTAGGAAAACTTTTGCACAGCTTGTGGAAGAAGATGCAAGCAGTAGAGCTGAGCCTCCTAATTATTTGTCAGCACAAGCTCCACCATCAAAGTATGTTAAATCAAGCTGATTTTTATCGTAATTAATTCTCTATTACTTTAATAACAATCAATTTTATTCTATAAAATATATTGTTTTCTAGTTAAATTTTCTTAAAGAAAAAAATACTTGTATGACCTTCTACTATTAAAATATCAAAAAGTACAAAATTGTCCCACTGTTCTGTCCATTTTAAAATAGTAAGGTTGTATTCTATGAAATATGTTGTGTTCTAGTAAAATTATCCTAATGAAAAAAAATATATTTGTTCAACCTCATACTATTAAAATATTAACATTCGAAAAATATAAACTAATCTCTATGTTTACTATATTTTTCAGGTTTCCGGACAGACATTTCTGTGCTGTGTGCGGGTTCCCTTCAAACTACACTTGCCTTCCCTGCGGAGCTAGATATTGCTCTGCGAAATGTCTTGGGACACACCTAGATACACGATGCCTCAAATGGACTGCCTGAATTGCTTTTCGCTTTTACTATACTACTATTTTATATTTCACATCTCTTGATTTAATTCTTGTAATTGAAATTAAACTGATGAAAAATGTATTTTTGTGTTGTCTCTAACTTGATTATTACTTGTTTGATGGTACTTATAGTAATATATAAAATTTAAAATGCACAAAAGATAGCTAAATATCAACCACTTTCAAAGAGTTCTTAATCACCCTTATATTTATATTAACAAAATGGTAATTGCGCAAATTATCTAGTCTTTGAAACTGGACACTGGATCATAACGGAATTAACTCAAAAAACATTAACAAAACAGGAATTACAAACTCCTATTAGGATTATAGATCCAAATTCAATCTATTTTGTTTGAACCCATTCCTTCCCAAATACCCATGAAATCATTTGGTGTTTAAGATGCCATTTTGTGAACAAAACGACACGTATTTTTGGTCTGATGAACTAAAAATTTATGTATTTCAATAAAACTTGATTATTTTAACACTGAAAGTTAAAGTATCGCAATTAATGCACTCACCTTTAACTATAACTGAGCTATAACTTTACACACCATTAATATTTTCGCCTGTGTTTTGTTTCCCGCCAAAAGTTATTTTTTTTAAAACTAAAACTGAAAAAGGTTGCCGATCATACGTATTTATAAAACATATTGTGCTATGGTAAAAATAACTAAAAAATATTATTACTTTTTGTAGAAATGTCTTATAATTGTAATTAACAATTTTAGTAGCGCTTTTGCCAATGCATTTCTTAGTTATAAAAAAATAATAGTAGAATATTGCCATCTAACGCCGAAAAGCAAAACAGTGATGTACTTTATAAAAATAGTACCATCTAGTGTCAAAAAGTAGAACTAAGAAATTGAAGTTTTCATATAAAGTCACTAGATGTCGCCAATACCAAGAAATAGAATAGAAGATATCACTTGACAATAATTAACGGAGCAATTATTATGACGATGAAAATGCATTTTACGTAAACAATGAAAATCATACTCGTTTGAAAAAAATTTGTACAATCAAAAGTATCTAAAACACACTTCGTTTTTATTAAAAAATGGTGTTCCTCGTCAATTATTATAAATGAAGAGAGAATTTAACTTTTTAAATATTACTATTAGACATTTCATAAATCACGTAACGGTTATTCCACTGACTTATTCATTTCAGGTCGTGGTCTCAAATCCTAGTAGTTCTAAACATTTCCTATATGTTAACTCACCTAGACATCGTATTCGTAACATTGCAAAAGAACACGTTACCGTTTGCAAAAAACACTACTATCTCATATTAAAGTCGATCTCTATAACATTTATTTGCTGACTGACCATAGTATCTTCACAATTTCACATATTTCAGTAAATCATGCATAGAAGTAGGCAAAAAATATGCAGGAAAAGCAATCGGTATATCGATAATGGCAACCCTTCTTTACGGGGAGGGTTGACTGCGACCATTGGCGGCGATTATTGAACATTTGTGACACCAGCTGGCAGGATATCGAAGCCGCTAATAAAGGGCGACTGTTTGCCCACAACTGCTGACTGCTGCCCAATCGAGGACAAGATGGCGGCTCCCGCCCAAACATGGAGCGAATTGCATAAAACACATATTATTTTTTAGATAAAACATTTTAAAATATAGATATTATTTATTTTTTACTTGTATGCTGAGTTTCAATGATTAGCTGTGGATTTTCTTTAATAATGTTTTTGATTTAACCGATGTAATTTTGTATAGGTTCGACTTCACGAAGTTGATTCTAAACATAAGATACAGATTTCTAATTTTATATTTACCTTTCCCAAATAGAAGAAAAGTAGGATACAGGTTAAATATTGTTAGGTACTAATTTCACACCCGCATTGTAGGTAATATTGACTTGAATTTCGCCTTGACATAGTAGTACAATGTTGTTATCACACTCTCCCTTATTCCGTCAGCGATATCCCTCGCCAAATATTGATAAGAGGGCACGTGGAGCGTTATCACTCGGGGCAGCTGCGGTGATCATAAGCCCCACTGTTACGCAGATGGGCTTCCTCCCTACACTTCCTATAGCGCGAAATGTAACCGTCGATTTACGGCTTCAGAATTAATACTGCGTTTAAAATAGGAACGTTCAAGTCAATGACCTTGATCTGTCAAAATCTTCATAAAATCAATGACCGGTCTGTCAAAAATCTTTATTAAATTGTATTAAAGTAACTAATTACACCAAAAGAACCTTCATTACTTGTTCGAGCTGTATTTTTATTCTTATGTTTGATTTTTCATTTATTTAACCAAAAAAATGTGTGTGTGATAAAATAAAACCAAAGAAATTCATGTACTTCCTTCATTTATTGCTTTCATCTCTTTATATTTTGCATAAATACTTTTTATACAACTATACAACGATTATCTTGCTTCGTCTCCATTTTGATTTTCAACATAACCTTAAAACTGTGGTGCGAATTGCTTCGTTGTTTTTTTATAATTGGATTTATTACAATTCTATTTATTTTAAAAACAAGACAAAGCAAAATAAAACGCTTTCAATATAACAATAGTCGCAAACTATCTCATTTATACTATTCTTCAACAACGCAACAACAATGGTGAGGGCGTAATATATTTTATTTATTTACAGTAAATTATATCACAATCCATACTCGAGGCACTTACGACTGGACAGACGCAGAAATATAATAACATTACGTGGTTTTAATATGTTTTCTAGTAATTTTAATCTTGTATCATTGAAGGCGGCTTATTTTTCTATCACATGGCAAATGGCAACCCTGGATGAGGCTTTTTAATTACTATAGTTATACTTGAGCGGGACGTAGAAAAAAGTAAAAAAAAATACAAAAGCATATTCTTGTCGATGGTTATACGACATATCAAAAGAGAAACTTTAATTTTAACATATTTAGCTTGTCTGTTATTGTCTTAAATAAAGCTGCCTCGATTTTATTAGGATTTTCTTACAAACAACTATAACTATATTTATGTACATCTATTTACACAAAATTCTTATCTAAATAAAATATACAATTCTCACTTAAAATTATTGACTCGTTTTTCAATAAATATAAAATATTAAAGCCAAATACATCATTTTTTTACAAATGAGTCTTTACAAGTTTGTCATCTTAATTTAATACTGGGCTAGGGGAATGGTTAACAACGTTTTCTTATGTCATTCGAACCACAGACTAAAAAAAAAACAAAAGGTATTTTTGTTATCTATGAAAATATTTTATATTTGCTTTGAAGGTCTGGATTCAAATTACAATAATGGAACGCATTTGTTTATTACTTTTAATTAAAATAATAATTCGGCGAAAATCAAGTTCACAAGAGAATAGTCTGAGATCCGAATAAATTTGAAAGGAACATTAATTTTATATCGACAGGCAAAGTTACACTATTAGCATATTTTAGAGATTCCGTACATAAAGCTTGGGACCGCATATGCATGCGTCCCATAAAAACTTCCTTAAAAATTTCCAAAACGACTACGCAATACTAATAAATAGTAAACTTTTCACATCCAATATTATTGTCGTTTTTGTACTAACAGTCGAAATAACCTAACTTTATTATCCTTCTTTTTTAAGTCAGGAATTCATAATCAACTACTTTTTTTAAGTAACTCGATAGAAATTGTAATTGAAAAAAATTTTAAATCCTGACTTCTCTTAGCCCTTCTCTTACTTCTGGTTTCTTTATAAAACCTGCTTACACCTTTCAACTGAAGGCTTAAGGACGGCATTGTATCAAACTAACTCTCTTCTACCCGTTCA